ACGAAGAAAATGGATATATATTTAACCAGCATGATTCTGATAGTGAATTAGAATTGGATTCAAGTGAAGAAGACAAAGATGTCGATGTTGGTAATAACTATTGGTATGGAAGACAAAACCAAATGGTGCAAAAAAGCTCCAGGGAGCATTAGATCATTAGCTCATAACATAGTAACTGTGTTGCCTGGTCTAAGGGGTGAAATTCCCAAAAATCGCCCAAAGACCCCTTCAGATGCAAGAGAAATTATTTTCATCAATATTTTGGAACCTATTGTGCAACATACAAATAATAAAATTTAAGAAACGAGACATTTGTATGTTTTCGTTAGCATAAATAAGTCTTAGTAGGTCCGTGGGACCCGATAGTAGCAATTGTAAACAAAAAATTGGATAGTAGTACTTACGAGTTAAGAAACAACAGTTATTTACATAATGTTAATAAGACAGATTACCTTGAATAATATTGCTGACCACCTCTTGATCAATTTTTTTTTGCAAATATCTCAGTTTTCGATTACAATTACTTTTTTACTATTTTTCCTGTAAGTACTCTGTCAACACTCCCAAAGAAATGATGCCAATTTTAAATCACCGTGTATTGTTTTTATCATTCTCTTTGTTCTAATATTTGTTGAAATTTGTCTGACAGAAAAGCAAATTTTGTGTTTTTTTTTTAATCTTGTTACTTTTGATAGTGTGTGTGCAATACCCCTAGCATGCACTCAGGTTGTTGGTATTTTAATTAGATACTTTTTTAGTACAATTTTTAGTGCTAATTATAGCCGTCACTAACTTGCACGATTACAGCGGTGAAAAGCAACTGGCAAAAACACGTAGTGTGTGGGGGCTTTACATTTCATATAAACTCACTCTTGTGTATTTACACATCGTTGTAGTACCAAAATATATTTCAATCCAACATGTAATTTACGAAACAACTGTTTAACGCTCAAGTAGGTAATTAATGAATGCTATTTATTTGCACTAGCACATACCTACATTTCGGAAAATATCTGGAGCCAGTATCTACTTTGGGTTCAGTTAAACACACCTATCAGGTCAAATATTCAGTATAAAGGTAATTTTTTTTAACTGTAAGTATGCGATAGGCAAATGGTAGGATAAAAAATTGCATACCTTCTTCCACATTCAATAAAGTAAGAAACAGTATAATCAGAAATAAGCCCACCCATAATAGGAAAGCTAATTTAGGAATTGTCCTTCCTCTCATTACAAAATTCATAGTTGGATATTGAAAAAATGCACTTTGCCTTTGGCTGTTTACTTTTCGAGCGGCTTTATCAACTTAACCTTCAAAGTTAGCTGCATGGCTAACTCATAACACACATAACTATAACGTAAATTGTAATTGATGCATTACATTATTGACCGCGATGAGTATAATTATTTCACTACCATTTTCTATAAAAACATAATTATTTGAAAATGTTCTATGCTCCCGACATGAACCCACGTCACACTCATAGATAAAGACAAGGTCACACTCAGTCACACTGCAACTGCACCACAGATCACAGAGGTTATTCTGACTCTGTTATCTGTGATCTGCACTCAGCGTTGCCAGACTGTGTGCCAGACCAAGACCAAGAACTTCGAAAGCTTGAATACATTATTGTATCATGGGTGGGGAAAAAACGGATAGGAAAAAACAGTAGATATAAAATTAAAACGGTCGATAGTTTAATGTCCAGAAATTTCTGTTTTTCGAATTTTTTAAGTGGTTTTCTAATGTACCTGAAAATCAAGTTTCCAAAGGTAAAAAAATTGCTTTTTGAACAAAATTTTTCATTTAAATCACTTAATTTAGATAAGTGTCGAAACTTGTCAAATGAGAACATAGATGGCAGCTGACATACTTCGAAGCAATGGCGAATCCAGTACGATACAATACCATCTATTTTACCTTTCAAGTCACCATTTTCTCAGGCTATTTGAGAGTTACTTATAACTACCGATGACCGATGGAGGCGTTGGGGCACGTAAACATTACTCCATTGTTAACTGCAAAGTTCATATAAATAGGGGAAATGTGCTTGTAGTGGATGGACCCCTGCCAATGATGGACCATCATCGATATTTTTGAAATTAGAACCCCTGTCGCATTAATACCAATGAGCGAACTTCTTATGGTAACAGCACAGCTTAAATAACATATATGATATACAGGGTGTTTCAAAATTGGCGTCATTCCTTTTAAGGGGCGATAGGGGCTCACTTGGGGAGTACGAGAAAAATATAGAAATTTTTTTTCCGATAATTTCTAGAAGATATTAACAGTTGAAGATCGAATTTCACCTTGGTTA